CACTAGAGAAATATTATGGTCAAGTCTACATCTAAGTAAATCCCAATTTCGGACGGTCGGATGAGAACAAAGCAGAGCCGCATTGCAGTCGGTGCGTGAAATACGATCCGTAATCGGATTCAGCCGTTATGTCATCTTACGTGGCCATAATGCCGCTTCACTGAATTAACAATAAGAGATTAAATGCAAGTTGAGAAATAAATAAGTTTATTAAATACCAATACGGTGTTAAACAGGCTGTAATGGCGTTTAAATTAAACGTACAATTTAAAAGCCATTAGCCACGTTAGCGTCATGGGTTTGAGTCTCGCCTGTATAATTTATAATAAAACTAAAATCAAATATGGCATACAGAAGTGAAACATACTCCAGATTCCGATGGCACAGAACTACTTGCGTTTAAATAAAGTGAAGGAAACGGGGTTATTCTGTTGTATGACCGACATGACTGTCTGTGTTTTGTAGATTTTGATATTCTACAGTATTTAGTAAGTACGCACGCGTGCTTATTCAAATTTGATCATTCGTTCTACTACGTTGAACATTGTCGAGAAAAACGTAAAGTTCTTATCTATTCCATAGAGACGGAAAGATAATTCGAATTCGTTGAAATTGGTTATCGCACTCAAAGACTCCCCAGAACTCGAAACGTCGACCTTGAAAGTGCGAAGAGTGCAAATCTCGACTGATAAACTCAATAGCTCGCAATTTGCGCCAATTATGCAAAGACAATGCGCGAACAAACGATACATTGTTCGGTTTTCGTCTGACAAAACCATTATCGACTATTGCTACAAATACAAAGGAGTATTTCGTGGCACGGGCGGTACTCAAATTTTTAAGACATAAATGAACTTTATAAATATTAAAATAAAAATCGATTCACACATATGTAGATCCCAAAAAAAGAAGGAAGAGCAAGTACGTGATCATAAAAGCCACATAATATTTGCACTCATATACTTGCCTATATGAGTGCAGAGGTTAAAAAAAGAAATAAGAATAAAAAAAGAAATAAACGCCAATTTATGGGCCTACCGAATGTATGTACAAAATTTCATTAAAAGTGGTTCAGCCGTTTTGGAGAAGTTCCCGCATAAACGTGTGAGACAGGAGAATTTTATTGTGTCACACTTCACTAGTCCACGAGCCACTCTACCGACCACTGTGGACATATTATAGTAGATGTATCATCAAGGTTTCTTTCTTCTGTACATGCTCTCGCGCAATAAAATTTCAATTTCACGTGTCTATTTTTTGTGCATTAACATGTGACAATCAGAATGATTACGTGGATATGAGCTACCTTCACGGCTTGGTTAACTCGTTTGTCTTGGGTTTAACACGAACGGGGTTCGATTGCTGGGCAAACATAATAAAACGCTGATATGTTGCCCTATGTGGATCGCTAATTTCTCAATTTTTATATAATTATTTGGCATAAATCAATTAAATCAAAAGAAAAAGTAAATAGCTTTGTTACAATGGAAAGTTCATTAACATACTACGTTTTCTGACGGACTATTTGCTCTAATGGTAACAATGTATGGTTAATAATCAATGGGTCGTCTAAAACATGTTGGATAAATGGGTGGTAGGAATATAAAAATTCCGTCCTGGTCATGAACCACCATCTACAGATGAGCCGTGAGGCGTAAGCGTCGTTTTCAGTCTGTGGATTTGGATATCCAAAGCCAAAATAGGCCATCAGCGCATCTTGTTTGGATGCTAAACAAGATCCGCTGGGCTTGGCTGGCTGGGGTATATAACCTACCATCAAGAGAACCCTATCATAAAAAACTTGCTATGCAATAAATTGCGAAAAATAACAGTTTTCATCTTTGAATTGGTGAGTTAATTATACTAATAGGATATATAAACAATGTTTTGGATTAAATACTGTCTATAGTTTACGCGAGTAGTACACATTTAAATAAAACACTTTAACGGTTTAAAACGCGATATATTAGTTAAACTTATTTGAAAATGATTGAAATTGAAACGTCGGGCCGAAGTTAAAAATCATTTTCAAATAAGTTTAACTAATATATCGCGGTTCAAACCGTTAAAGTGTTTTATTTAAATGTTTTGGATTTCCGGTTGTTTTTCCATGTAGAAGCAATAATATTTTAAATATGAAACGTTAAACATTTTTACAGGCAGTCGTGAGAAAACGTATGCAAAACGACAATAATAAGAAGTGTCTGTTTATTTGACTTTAATGAGGCAGTCACGATAAACGAACATTACATAAACGAAATTATTATACACGGATTTTTTTTTAGGAGATGTGAAAAAATAGTGTTAGAAAAATGATGGTAAATGTTTAATGTGTTGTTATGTTCCAATATTATTTATATGACAAACGAGAATATATAGCCAGCCGTATAACATCTCACAAAGATACGCTAACCTATTTTCGCTTTGAAAATTCGGAGATACACAGACTAAACCGAGGTTTAATTTCATCTGTGGACCCGGAGTGATATTGGAAATTCCTACCACCAACTTAATATCCAGATTTCAGACAGACAGACATTGGACCAACAAAGCCGTCAAAATTAATTTAATAATCTCCTTTAAATATTTTGAAATGTTGTAAATTGTCTTAAACATACTTTAAGACATCACTAGAAAAATATTTTATATACTAAAGTGTATATAAGCTATATACGGCATTATAGTGATTTGTATATAATATACATATAAATTAGTTGTAATGTTCCGGTAGTACCTACTCACGAAACATTAATGTGCGCATGAGTTTAATTAAGTTGCAATCATATTTATAATTTACATTATTACAATGTAACTATACAATGTTAGAAGTGTAAAGATGAAAATTTTATTATTTGACGAAACACCTACAAACTACATACAGTATTTATGAATAAGTAATATATACTTAGTTTCAGACTGAGACAGAGAAAGAAAAAACTTAAGACTATAAAAAAAATATCGGTCAAAATAAATTATGAACAAACGAGCGCAGAAGTGTGTTTACCCCAGTATAATAATTTCACCGTTAATCCTTTTCTTGTAAAATATGTAAATAAAGTAGAAATGAGTTAGTATATTTTGGGTTTTAAACCGTTATTATTATATTATTTTCTATTGGGAACACATATAGAAGGCCGACCGTTTCCCCTTTTCCTCCTTTTAGAGGGTTTTGTTAAATCTGTTTTATTTTAATGGTTACTACTCGCGTAAACAAGACACATTACTACGGTGTTTGAATTATACTTCAGTATAGAGTTTAAGTGAATCACATCCTCTCAACTGTACAGCTACATACTTAGCTTAGTTAACTTGATACTCAGGCTACTTTTAATATCTGCTAAACCGTGTAACAGGGCTCGTTATAAATACCACAAGAGATCTCAAGCCACACTATAGAAGCTGCCCTGATGTTTACGCAATTCAAACAATTGCGAGCCAGACGCAAATTCTTCGAGCTATTCTGTTTGAAAACAAATCTTACGTTTTGAACACTCTTCAGTATTATGTGAATGTAAGGTTAAATTTTGGGATTATAATATCACTAAAACTAAAGAAGTGAGAGGATACTGTCTATAATTAACGCGAGTAGTACACATTTAAATAAAACACTTTAACTTTTACTTAAACTTATTTGTTTAACATACTTAAAACTTAGTTGTTTAACATTTTCAAATAAGTTTAACTAATATATCGCGTTTTAAACCGTTAAAGTGTTTCATCAAAAATGAGAGGATATTGAAATTAAATGACAGAGTGTGACTAGACCATAATGATGAATATATTTCCTATTGGTTTTCACATTTCTCGCTGTATCTTCGCTTGTATTAGCCTTTCTCGATAAATGCTTTAATCAACACAAAAATATTTTTTCAATTCGAACTCGTAGTTCCTGAGATTAGCGCGTTCAAACAAACAAACAAACTCTTCAGTTTTATATATTAAGCATAGATAGAATAGTTTTTTTCTTCATCTACATCATCGATGACTAATGTCATGGACCTAATAGAACGATATTATAGTAGGAAACAGTCTTTTCTATTATAGTATCATATGCTAATATTATGTTATATGAGGCTCAAAAGAAGATAGGACTATGTCGTAAGTATGACGTAAGGATTAGTGTCATTTGTGTAGCAAACGTTAATCTTGTTTACTTAAGTCATGTTTCATGTGTTTACTTATCGTTTTGCTAAAGCATTATTTATAGCTCGGCTAAGTTTCGCCATCATTTGATTCCCAGATCTGGGTCTGGGACTTAGGTAAAAGCGAAATACGATTTGACGGATCACAAACGACGAAACGTCAGGCCGTTATTCAAATGAATTGTAAATAAGTAACTAATATATTTAACGTTTTAACCCGCTAAAACTGTTTTATTAAAAAAATTACGAATAATTACGAGCTAAGATTTTATAGAACGTGGCATCCTCTGCCAGTAGTCCATTTTTTTTTAACTTGTCATCGAACTGGGGATTGTAAGGTCAGCCAATTTTTATTCATAATATCGATTTAAAGCATACTTTAGTAATTTCATCCATTCCTTCTTTGTACGCGGTATACTATCAAAATCCCTTACAATCTAGTTGATTGACACAGATAAGCGTTTGTCCTTGCCAAAGGTCGTCGGTTCCGGAAAAATAACCGATACGAGAATACATGACAATCGGCAACAAAGTAATATAATTATAATATTCTAAAAAATTTAAACCCAGATGTTATCTTCCATCTTTCCTACCCCAATTGTCATGGTCCCACCTGTCCTATATAAAAAATTACCAGTATTTCTTAATACCTGAATACGCAAGTGTTCAGGTATTAAGAAAGGTAAGGTTGAAATTACAGGTGTAGGATAGCTCAATCGGTTAGAGCAACAGCTCAGAACGGTGTGGATGGCGGATCAAGTCCTGCCCGTGTCGTATTTTTTTAATAATTTGTTTTGTTTCATTTACCATCTTGAATTGTGGACTTTCCTAGCTGTAGCTCGACCTTCATAGACTAACCTTGCGTGCAGCTGTCGAACCGCTCGCTCCTCAACTCTTCCAGCTGTTCGACGAGTCGCTTCACCTCCGCGCAGTCGACCACCAGATGCAGTTGGTCGGTGGCGACGTCCTCTATCGTGACACTCCTATTGTTGCCGTTGCTGTTCTCGTAGATGAAGCATAGGGATCGGCTGAAAGAGATAAGAATTTAACCAGTGCTCCATCTTAAAGAAAACAAAGTTAAACGCTTTTTGCAATCTGATATATAGATTTGGAAATTCTATTATCATTTTATTGAAAGTATTTTAGGTCGCATGAACAGTTTGTTTCAAACTTAGAATGATGAACAGCTGGACAAAGATTCTGGACCCCAATGAAGTATTTCGACCAAAATTCGATTATCACAAAAACGGTTCTCGTGAGTTAATCTTAAAAAACAGACATATACTGTTAAAGACATTTTTTACATTGTTTCAAGAACAATAATTCTGCATATTTTTTTATATCTTGTACAGTCGTCGCAGCCCACGCTACTGAAATCCTCAAAGATGATTTTCCCCCGTTTATTCTACATTTCCCTGTTTTTTTGCTTCTATTGGTCATAGCCTGATATTTATAGTGTAAAGCCTTGTCCGATAAATGCTGACAGGAATACAAAAATAATGTTTCAATTTGAACCAGTAGATCCTAAAACTAGCGCGTCTAAACAAACGAACAAACAAACTCTTCACCTTTTGTATTGAATATTAAATAAAAAGACAAGTCATAACTTAAGTGATTGGACAATAAATTATAAGTCATTTAATTGCGAGATTATTGTGAAGAGATATCAGGTATAACACTTATCGCTTGAAAGTAAATATCATGCAACTGTGACGTAGAAAGTCCACAGCCTTTAGTTTTCTTTCTGAGCCAAGTCTTTGAAACGTATATTAACTTTTGTATTTGAAATAGGGGCTTTTCAAAGTCAGCTGCAAGATCTTTGTGACCAGAGGGTCCCAGGAATGTATTAACCAGAAATATTTTTGTACATATCTTAAAGTGGCTACGCGAGCTTACGTCAATATATTTTTTAGAAAGTTTAAAAAAAGAAGTAACCAAGCCTGGACTGGACATTCCTACCGTAGATGTGCCATTTGCTCTGTCAGTCACTACATTTTTTTTTGCACCACAGAAATATTATACTTATCAATCTGATATTTAAGTACAAAATATATTTATTTTATTTTTAAATTATATAACCGTTAAGTTGTGGCATATGTGAGTCGGTTCTCTCACAAAGAGTTCCGTACCGTTGGTAGGCACCTTGTAGACGTTGCTATTTATCCAATTTATGTACGGAAGGTCCCTTTAGATAATTCATTTTATACTTACTTGAAATACTTTTGAAACTTTACAACGCTCTAGCTATCACGGCTCTTGATATAAGGACCGGCAGCAGATAGAATGTATAATAATAGTAGTCATTTTGTTACGGAACCCTAAGAGGTTATGTTGCTACCGTATATTTAAACGGTATTTCTATAAAAACTTTCGTATTTACTGGTCTTTCAGTCACGTATCGACAGCAAAAAGTTTTGAATACAATCCGATTTACAGTGCACAAGCAATACCTACGTTCTTGCTAACAAATTACATTTTTAAATAGATACGAACGTTGATTTTGAATCGTCTACATCTACGTTTTTATGCAAACTGCAATCAATTGGTTTGATATTCTAGGCGTACAGACAGTGAAGACTTAATTGTTATTATATATATTTATTATTACACAGTAATTTAAAATAGGATATGATTTTAAAATTACGGACTCTTCTAGTTCTCATTAGTAGTTGGAACTAAGTTGGACTTCGATTACCTACTGTCACAATTAACATAGGTCAAGCAAGGAGCCCTAGATGGCCAACCTTGGAATAATTGTGCGAATATTTATAGAAAACGTCATTGCAAATCAAAAGCGGCGTAACCTTGCACTATGCAATTAGTGAGATTTCGCCGTTGCTAGGCAACGGATATCAGCTTTAACCTAAACGAATATTATAAAGCTGAAGAGTGAACGCGCCAAATGTATATAAGTAATGAATATTTGTATAATTCCTACAAAGAAAGGTTAAGCGCGCTGCTTAGCTTCAAGGGTGGAGGGTTCCCAAGTTCGTAACTGGGAAAATCGTTAGTAAAAAAGAAAATAGAAGTAGGCGTATAGTAAATAATTTTTTACCACTATATACGACTAAGATAAGGATAAAGCAAGTGTTTTTTAAACACGTTTCGGCTGCAGCCTTCGAATTACTGAATATCCTAAAAATGTTATCGTCTGCATATCCTAATTGCATTTAATGGAAATATCATTAATAAACCTGTCTGGAGGTAAAGCTACATTCATTTTGTAACATGACATTGGAGTACATAAGTACAATTTGAAAGAAACTTGTTTATATTTTTCTTTTTTGATAAGGCGCCGTTAAGGTCAGGTATGCCCGAGTTTGAGGTAAACGACACGCGTAAAACGATACTTGTCTTCGGATCAAGTTTAAGCAATATTTTATTTAGCATGATTATCAAAATTTGAAGCAGTTGCTTTTTAGATCTATACTAATATCAAAGCAGAAGAGTTTGTTTGTTTAAACCCCTTTATATCTAGAACTACTCATTCGAATTGAAACATCTCGCTGCGAGTACAAATGTAACACAACGACAACGGTTCAAGAAGGCAAAAAAATTATCAAAGAAGTTTTCCTCTTTAACTAATTTAAAAATAAGTCCACATCTTTTGAGATCTAGTTGCAAGAACCAACTATTTGTTAGAGTTACAACAATGATATAATAACAATCTTCATTCAAATAAATGTGTTGATTCCACGCGAAGCGTTAAAGCTAGTATTTATATAAATCTTTAATCAATGTATTACAAATATTGGTTAATGCAGGGGATTTTACTTCAAAAATACATACACACACTGTAAGAAGCACTTACCAACTACTCTTCTGCGGTATACAATATTCCCAATTCTGGCTATTCAGCCTCCACTCTCTCACTCTGCGTATTGTCGGTGCATTCAGCTCCTCACATATCATTTTTACAGCCTCCACTTCTATCACATCTTGTAATGCTATAACTGACAACCTACAAAAAAATGTATATTGTTATTTTACAGATTAAACAGTGGTCTACACTAATTTCAATCTGGACAAATATTAAAAGTGACTTGTTGGTCTAGTAACTAGTTCCACTAGGCAATGTAAGATTAATCAACAACTCTAAAACAGACACAGATGTCTGTCAAAGTTAGGTGTGGCTGTTAGATTTTAGAGTTCTAATAATTATCATTGATAAGATGAAGTTTGTAATAAGTAAGTAATGATAAGGCGCTTAGTGATAAATAACAAAAAAATAATCACATTTTTATTATTGATAGTTAACACATAGATATCTTCCTATACAATACATACATGTACATAGAAAAATGTAAGATTTATTTATGTAATGCATATACCTACTTAATATATTCAACACATGGTAATTATTGATAACATGAAATTTATAATAATTTAATTTGATAAAGGACTTAGTGATAAGTTCTAAATAAAACTAAACTGTGCAATCTCATCTAGCCAAGATTAGTTTGTACCTACATATAATTTTACATTTAAAGCAAAATGTAATTAATGATCTTACTAATTGTATCTTAGTACTATAATAGTAAATAATTAAAATAGATTAGTCTTATTTATTTGCACCTCAATTATAATAAGCTTTAAATCTTGTGGACTGTTTTGATTTTATTGTCTTTAAAATATTAAAGTAGAAAAAAAAATAAGTGTGTACAATTTTTTCAATATATAAAACACTATAATTGTAGTGGATAAGCTAACACTATTTGAGGGAAAGAATGAGAAAAATAGATGCAATGGTCAGCAATTTGTATCGACCCAGGATCCAGCCTAGGGCTGGTCCAATAAAAAGAAAACTACTCACTTATTCTCCAATATTGTCCGACATACAACTTCTCTAACACCAGGATTAATGACTTTTTCTATTGTCAACTGGTGAATATGCCAGGATGCTAACCGACAGCATCTCACACCATCCCGTTCATATGTAAATTCTTCACGTACCACTGGCCTATGCGAATATGCTGATAGCAAATCTAGTATATCGTTTACTGGTGCTGCTGCAAACCCATTTGGTAGGGTTAGCGGAAATTTTGGGGGCATTGAAAAGCTTTTTCTACTCGGTGACACTGTTTTCAATTCACTACTCAATAATGATCCATTCAATGACGTATTTGTTATCCATCCATTCATATGTCCATTTGGTATATGTTGCTCACTTTCACTTTTCCTCAGTTCTAAGCTCAATTGAGGTTTCACAGTGCTGAGTCTCACTTTATCAATACCCTTGACTTTTATTAAGTCATCTAAAGACGTAAATGGGCCCTTTTTATTTCTGTAATCTACAATGTTTGCAGCTATCTCCTGGTTCAGCCCTGGGACACACTGCAATTGGAACACACTTGATGAATTAACGGAACACAGCTTAGTTTCCATTGACAATCTGAAGCTGTCCAGAGAGTGTGTACAGGAACTGGCTCTAGACACTTGTCTCTTGATGTTTGTACATATCTCTGGCCTTAGCAATTCTAGTTTTTCAGCTCCTATACCTAAAATTTAATTTAACATTTCAATAACGCCTTTCTTTAATTAGCTATAACATATTACATTATACAATACACTTTCCATTCATGTAAGAAAAAACTTATAAGAATATGGTGTCTTAGATTTTCAATTAGAACAATTAAATTAAGTGTGAATGTAATGGCCAATTTGTTTAATCTCATTATATATAACTCGCATAACTCAAATAGTATAATCTATAACTGTAGAACCTTCTTAAGTATTACAAAGAAATCCACGATTACCTGATACCAAGGCAAGGTCGTCGACTCGTTTGAAGCGTCCTATCATCTGTCGATGACGAACAATTTCTCTTGCCAGCTGTCTGCTAACACCTGGTAGGGTCATGAGTTGCTCCTCAGTCGCTGTATTGATGTTCATCAACTCAGGATACTCCTCGGACGGTGGCAAATTAAAAGTGTGACTTAAACTAGACTTATTGAGTTTGGACCGCCGCACAAAGCCCCGAAAGGACTTCCGGCTGCCTTTACTCCGTAAAGAGCTAGGACTCTGCCCCATTTCTTTGGTAAACAATTGCATTAAGCACCGTACATTACACTTCACTATTTCACTAGGTATTTATTGAAACTATTAATAGATTACAATTAAAACACAATACTTGCACTAAGAAACGATAAATATTGAATAACACACTGATAATAAAAGCCAAAAGACTTATAAGTAGAAATATGGCTCCGTACTCGACAAAAGGAAGTAATGATTACATCGTATGTAATTATTAATGAGAAATTGATATTCAAAAGACACAAGTCGTAAAGTGCAATCGCCAAACAAACGCTCGACAAACTAATACTATCGATACATTGACTGACGTGACAGTTATAATTTGACATTCCTAATCGTAAGTGACGTTGACAGATACAGATTTGACAATTGACTGTCAATTACTGCCGTTATGGATTCCACTCGTCTGTAAATAACAAATATTTACAGACGAGTGGAATGAAAAACCACAGACCCCAATTTAAAGAAATGGTAAAATAAAAATATACAACTACCCTACTCTCTAAATTGCAATTTATTTACTAAAATTATTTTATCGATAAAAATTCAAATACGCTAGTTGAACTTATAGTAGCAATGTAGTAACCTAAAACACTGTCTGTAGTTTACGCGAGTAGTACAGATTAAAATAAAATACTAACGGTTTGCAACGCGATATGCTATTTAAATAAAACACTTTAACGGTTTAAAACGCGATATATTAGTTAAACTTATTTGAAAATGATTTTTAACGCGATATGCTAGTTAAATTGTGACCCGGGTGCTGAGGTCACAATTTTCAAATAAGTTTAAGTGTTTTATTTAAAAATACAGTAACCTAATAGTAATCAACGGGTGGTGAGTTACATCACCTTTGGGTATCACATTTTTATATTTATAGTTTTTCTAAAACATGTTGAAAATTGTCTGAAAATCTGGTTAGTATTGTATAAATAATAAAAATTCCGTCCTGGTTACGACCACTGTTCAGAGATTCAAAATCCGTTTAATCGTTTTCTGTGAATTTCCGAATATTCAAAGGCAAAATAAATCAACCGAGCATGTTCTTATGATGTTATAGGGCTGAGGTGTTTCAACAGATGGTAGATTAGATTACACATGGTGGGTTAGGATGGCGTTAGATGGACTAACCTACCCTACCTTTATCATTCATATCATTGAATAAATGATCAACAATGATGAATACTATCTCATTAGTGTTAGGTAGTTTATCACAGTAATATGTGAGAAATATAAAAAAAATCCATCAACAGTGAAATCAAATACAAGTTAGTTAAAATGCGACTATAAAAAGTAGGATTAATGTTTTAGAACATAAATAAAAATTGTATTCTTGTCAGACAGAAATAAATAAATACCAAGTAAATTTCGTGCCATTTATTTTCAAAATATCGAATTATTATTCGGACAACTTAAATAGATATATGTACAGGCTCTATTAAGCTATATATGATAAAAATTTAGGTAGTTGGATACTCGCTACACTGTCGTTGTTTCATAAATGCATTTTTATGAAAACGAGTGTAGTTTGAAGCTATATATAATGTTCGCATTTTTACTATTAAAAAATAACATTAATTACAAAAATTGCTGTTACTTCATAATGCGATTAAATCTTTTTCTCATTTTGCGAAAAGCCCGCACGAATTAATCAGGTTTATTTTGTTTATTGACATATTGATTATCTATTTATGTTATTTTCGCTGTGGTTCTCTTTATAATAGATGATAATGAAGAACACTCACTTAAAATATCACAGAATAAAATAATGAAAGTTATAATACGTATGAGTTTGCGATAATTACTATGCAGTTGTTGAATGACTAGTTAGTAAAAATAGATAAGCAATATTAACATTAATCAGTATGATATTATAATATTATAAATAAATAACCATCTAATTGGACAAACGGACATATACTATATGGTATGTTCTGAATTAGACTTTTTATAATATTACTTTTAGATTATATTAGAAGTCTATGAGGAAAATGAAAAACTGAAAATGTCAAACTCAGAAAATAATGTCAAGGCAGTTTTGTAAACTTGTTAAAATGGCGATGTCATATTAAGTAACAAGAAAAGCTGCCTATCGTTCTTACATAACGTTCATTAACCTAATGGATCTAATAGTTATACTCCATGGTTATATAACACTGATATAATTGTCTTAACATTACACCGCATTACAAAAATAGACAATTAATCTTTCCCTCAGACATCTTCGTATAAAAAGCTCGCCACATTTGCAATTACGACATTTTCTCTATTCCCGCTAAACAAGCAAGACACGTCAAAGTCAATTACCAAAATCCCGCCAAAATCACCCGCCGTTTTGATCAATTGCCAATTTAAACTTCCAAATTCATAATCTTTATTGTTTCAACGATAATAATTGTTAAGTATTAAACTAGTCTAATTAAATAAGTAATTCCGAATGTTAAGCGGCCTAAAATGTAAGTACTTCTAAAGTCGGTTAATTCTAGAAGCAGCTACGTAGTACTATTTCTATAATAGTGACCTTTATTATACACACTGTGAAGAGAGCGCGGGGCAATAAATGAAACTCCGCATTTTATTCAATCATTTACTATAATTAATAATAAGCACCAAACCATGTTTGGAATGTTGTGTATTGCACCAAACATAAACCGATCTTTAGGTTACATCATAAATAGTACATCACTATGTAAAATGGAGGTTCCGAAATAAATTAATTTGGCTGCGAAATAAAGGCCACCATTATTTTAAAACTTCTATCTTACGAAAGCGAACTGAACTATGGATTTTTTGTCACTTTGATATTTTGCACGTATTAATGTGATAGTATATGATATATTTAATTATTTAGGACACATTTTCAAGTATATTTCATATTAGGTGAAAAAACTGGTAATGAACAACATATAATTTGTCTTATACAGGCTCGCCTTCGTAAGACAGTGTTACAATCAACTAATTTATAAAATACGTTCGAAATTTCACTACATAATATTATTATGAGCAAAACAAAACTAATACAAAAATTAACATTCAATAGAAAACATCTGTCCGCCGTACTAAACTAGATATTTTTGTATTTTTCAACATAGCATCACATTATACACATAACATATTCAATAAAAATTCGATTATTGGAAATAATTATTATGAGAACGCGGTCAGTTGCTTTCATTGAACGACAAATAAATACCACACAAACAATCGATACGCGAGATGGTATGTGTTACAAGTCTACTATTGAAAAAGATAAAAGGAAAGACATTTTCATTTTCAAATTAAAATCAAAATTTAAACACAATAAACCTGTTTGGAGATATCAAACAATTTTAGTGAATATTAATATTTTTTATACGATCAGCACGATCCACGACACAGTGCATACCCAGTCGCGTTACCAATTTATTAACCTTTTTAAACATTTTAAAACGGTCCTTCGAGCCGGGTTTGAACCAGCGACCTATAGATTAGAAGAGTAATTAATTCACTAATGTGGGTAAAAAATTATTCAAAATCTTCACAGATTGACAAATTTACCACACCTCTTACACTGACAAAAGATAAATCTCATGTTACTACAAAACGAGATAATCAGGACGTCATTTAAACAAATAGACAAGACTATACACTTGTAACACAAGACCACTACATGGTTTGTACAAATAGTGACTTCATTGTGCAAAACATCATTCCTTAAATCCAACTACATTTAACCGAACTAAGGCAGTAAAATTTCCAGTATTAAGGTGCAGCTGAAACTGTTAACCTATGATTTAGTATGGATCGTATAGGAATCTATTATTGTTATGTTTTTAACTAACAAAACTTTCTTTAACGCTTTCGTAATCAAAACTTATGTTTGACTGAGGACGCCCTCATATTGCGCCAACTATATTTGAAGTCCCAAATATTGGTGTTGGCAAATGGAATTTTTCGATAAATTGTAGTTGGATCTGCCAGTCTTCACAGAAGATCACGTATTACGGAATTCGATATGGTTTTGTACTGCACCATTTATCACATACTAAATTCTATCAGCAAGTACTTTTATAATTACAGAATGATTATATTTTTATTAGGGAAGAATACCGATTTCTTTGCATATGCCAGTGCCATAGCTTCTTCAACTTTAGTAAAAAATTATAAATATATAAAGACAAATCGTATGATTCAAATTCGAAAATAATTTTACATTATCATTGGAACGAAAAATTCACCAAGATGCCTTGATATGAATATTGTGAATTTCATGAACGTTTTATGTCCGCGTTACCCAAAACATTACGATTATACTCACCCTTACTATAATATATACAGATTCAGTACAAAACCACACATTAATCTCAGAATATTACAACCGCTTAGCGCCGCCGTACACATGGTACTTAGCCGTCAGTCAAGGTAACAACCAAAAGTACCACGTATCCGACGTATTACAAACTCGAGGTGTTATAACCTTCGAGCCATTAATTCCACTTAGATCGATGAGGCTATCTAAATAAATACTTATAATATCATAGAACAACTGTTACATCAAATTAAATAGGATTTTAACTTATTTCCATATTCACTGAAAGCCAAACGAAGTGCTATCTTCCAAAACTTCGAATGACAATAACATTTTTCTATCATTAATGACAGTTTGGGAATGCCTGGTTATTTTTTTCTAGGCTCCATTCTTTAAATGGTGAAATCTATTGTTACCATTGGTGTATCGATGTTGGAAGTATGGAAAATAGTAGTATCTAGCCGCCATGTTGCCCGTATCGAGTTGTAGTGAAGCGAAAGAATCTCGTGTGGTGAGAGCGAGGCGGTGAAGCCGGCGAGACTTAAACCCGCGACCCGTGGTTCGTTGAGTACACTTGCCGCACTGTACCTGCAACATTAGAAAGATGATTAATTGAAGATTTATTTATAGAAAAACCAAAAGATTTATTACTACATTGAAATTAGTATGTACATAATAATTGCATTTATAAAACTATTTTAAAATAACATCTCTGAGGTTTTACAGTTAAGATAATCATCCAATTTGCTAATTACTATTATTAGAAGACGTAAGATCATTTTGAAATACCCAGCTTCTGAATATATGTTTTTAATCAATTCAACCAGAAAATATAACTTGCCTATGTGTAGCTAGCACTCGGACGAGTTCAGGTCGACCGTGGGCGGCGGCCTTTTGTTGCGCGTGAGTCGGTCGAGCTCTGCCGCCGCATCCGAGCGCGCCGCAGCTGACACCGCGGCGGGCGACACATCGGCGCGTGCGCCTGGCGAGCCCGTCTTCTTGTATAGCAGCGAGTTGAAGAAGTTCGCCAACACGCCCTCGTTGCCCGGCGTGCCACCGCCCATTCCGATTTTTGTACCGTCCAACTAAAAAAAAAGAACAATAAATTTACCTTACTTATTTTCGTAAATCCGAAATAAATTGATTGAATCACAATTAAATTACAGAACAATAGGAATTTTAAAAAAAACCCTTAAAAATAAGCACTAAAACTATTACTGAACATGGAGAACCAGAAATCTCGTATCATCATAAATTGTATATGTTTCACGCTACACACCTGCGCCGCCGTCCGTTGAGCAGTACGCAGCGGTGAATCGGCACGAGGTGCGGCTGCTCCCGCGAGCAACGCTGTCTGCTGCCGTTGCAGGAACGTCTGTTCGTCCTCGGATGTTATCTCTGCTTCTCTATGGCCACCGCTCTGAAAAAGGTATAAAAATATTGAAAATAGCCGAAGCCGAAAATAGTTTCTATAGAGTTGATAGTATCCCACTTCTGATATGGTTTGTAAAAATATAATACATGCGTATAATAATTAGCATGACAACAAATTGCAAATGTTATTAAAATTATTTGGAGTCTATTAAAGTTTATTGTATAAAATCTGTACCTTTCGTGTCGCGGGTTGGACGATAACATCTCTGTAATAGTCGTCTGGTTTGCACGTCTGCAAGTTTTCGTGTAATATGCTAATTTTCTTCATACTATCCCAGCCCGCGGGTCTGGAAAGGGTTTTCATTGTCAATGAGTATTTTGGTTACAATAACACATTATTTCAAGAATGAAATACTGAAAAACATAATGCAAGCTAATACTTAAAAACATTTTTAGGGCCAAAAATGTATAATGCTTCTTTGTAAAAGTACACTTCTTCAAAAACTTATCTTTTCAGCGAGGCAAAACTTCTTAATAAAATCTGTATAGCATATTATAATTTTACAAAACAATGGTTGTTTGACATTATTTTATTTTATATATTTTTTTGGGATATGTATTTGTTTCTATCTGTGTCTATGATACTCGCTACTCTATACTCGAGTGGAGCGTAAGATTTTACTCACATTAAGACCGCGTCCTTTTCAACAATAAGCGCCGGCGTCCGGAAAGGCAGGCCATATATCCGGTGCGTGAGGTACTTGTAGAGCAGGTCGCAGTTCTTGTCCTCCTTGGCGCTGGAGTAGAACAGCGCCGCGCCGTACTGCAGGCAGAAACGCCGGATCCACTGCTGCATGAAGTCGAAGTGCTCGTCGCGGTAGTCGTGCTCCTTCTCCAGCGTGCTCATGTAGTCAGTCTGAGTGTTAAAGGTCATATTACTCCTAACATAAAGGGATATCATACATTTCATACATTTTTTTAAAACTATTATATCCTGTATGTTGCCACTGAAAATTGGCGCTGTTGCGTATCACCTATATTCCCAGTCTATTTTGATATTTTTGTGTAAATTACCACAAATAAATGTTTTTTATTTTATTTTAAGTAAAGGGTCATACCTTGGTAACCACAACGACGATGTCGAGACCCAGGTTCGTGTAGAGCACTTTCTCCGGGAGGATGTTGTCCTCGTCGTCGCTGTCCAGCTCGTCGGATAGATTGCGCGAGGACCGCTTCATGGGAGAGGACGCGCTCTGCTCCATCTCGTCACCGGGCTCTGTGTACCGCACCCACTTCTGCACCTGCTGCTTTTTGCTTTGGAGCTGTTGTTCTGAAAACGGTTTTGAAGGTTGTTGAAATGTAAAGGTTTTATTTTTAATATATGCGAAGTGAAATGCAGACAGAATTTCGATATTCCCACCCACATTCCACATACAGATTTTCAGACGAAGTGGTGGATGTTTCAGAAAAATTAGAAACATGTCGAACCTGGTGGGGACCGAACCCACGACCCGTTGGTGATTAGCCACACATAGCTACGATTGTACTGAGTTACTGAGTTAGCTAGAAATGGCGATTTGACTAAAAAAAGATAAGGTATCAAATGTAATACAACGTATACAGAACAAAAACGCGCAAAAGGTTCATGTGTCAATAGTTTAAAAAATTCAACGATGATGTGACGCGGTAGCTCAATTGATTAGAGTAACAGCACGGATCGTCAGGGACGCCGGTTCGAGTAAATTTTTCTGCCCTGTCCGTGTCGTACATTTTTTTCAAATCTAAACTCAATGTTTAATTTATACAATAAATTCCGCTACAAACGTTGGGAAAAGTTCCACACTGAAAATTCTATACTAGCCTTGTGTTCGTTATAGCGCTGAAGAGCAGAATAAATAAGACTATTGTGTAACTTTCCCTAAACTAATGGCAAAAAATCAAAAGAATACTTATTCCGTTAACAATATGTTTAACTATATTTAAGTAACATTTCATTCAAATATTTTTGTTTTCGGAAGTCAATTAACGCGTTAAAAGTCTATTGTATTATATGAGTCAGTCATTCGGACGTCCAAATGTCCATTCGCAAGATATCATATTATGCTGAATGAATAAATTATGATTCACACCGAGCTGCTTGAATACTTGTTCTAAAAGTAAGCCTATTCATGCTTTTTACTGTTAGTAGATTTTTTTATTGTATTTAAGAAAACTTTAAAATTCATAACGCGAAATATTGCATTAACTACGAGAAGTTACAAATTAAATTAACTTTTTTATTTCTCGTTTTAAATCGTTTATTTTGTTTACGTCTACCCTTTTTTTAAGTACTAACATATGTTTCTTCGTAATGTTATCTTTAAAATTGTTGAATATTGGAATAAAAAAATTGCCTGTCTCAACGGTTTTGTTGGGAAACTCTTTGCATTGATTACATCGTTCGTAAGAGATATGCAGATTAAAAGTGAGAAATTTTCTTATCATCCGGTAAGACAAGCAGAGAAGGCTGTAAACATAGGATAGACATAAAATGTGTCCGCCCAAGAAGCACGGTGTTTTCAATGGAAAAGCTTAATATTTTTGAACTTAAAAGTATATAACGGCAGAGACATTATGATAATACGATGACATAATGCCATATCAAAGGCATTAAATTACGAGACATTCCGAACGCAGGTTTTTATACCATTCCATACCTAACGCATTAAAATCTAAACAAGTTAGATATTGAATAAATTATCATATTGATTGAATGAAAAATATTGTAAACAAACAGTAAAAGGTGTCGAACATCAAAATGTTCGTAAAACTGACAAATAACGCAAATATTACAAACATATAATGCCAAGAACTGTAAAATGCATAATATGGATCACGTTTAATTATTTTAACTACGGACCGTTGTTCAGTGCCAGCAGCCGTGTCACGGGGAGACCGATAAAATTGATTTTTTAGTTATAAAACATATAATGTTTGATTATATTATCTAAATTAAATCGATAGAACAGACAGGACTAGACAGACTCCCGTGACCAGCGATTTATGCAAGACTGTAACGGATTCGTATAGGAAGAGATATAGATTGACTGAATTAAGATTCCGTTTTAGTAAATACTTTTTGATTCAATTGTAGAAATAAAAACCATTTCAAAGGTAGGCGTGAATGATATATGAAATTGATATGAATTATAATTTAAATAAAACACTTAACGGTTTAAAACACGATATATTAGTTAAAATTATTTCAAAATAATTTTTAACTTCGGCCCAAACTAATATATCGCGTTTTAAACCGTTAAAGTGTTTTATTTAAATGGTCTCTCGCGTAAACTAACGATTTTTTTTGTGGATTGCACATATTCTTTAGCAGCAAATTTTTAGTTGTTATTACTGGCGACTAAAGAGTAAAATCAAAAATAACGTAAAAAGGGAAGCTTAAATACTTGTTACCACCATTTATTTTAAATTAAAACAATTAATTCGCGAAAGTACAACGTGGTATTGTATTAAGTGTGTCAGGTGGATTAAATATCATTTTTACGGTTACATTCTTTCGTGATAGTTTTCGTGTTCAGTGTTAGGTTCAAACGAAAATACGAGACTTTCTATTCGCAATACATTTTATATTACACTAGCGGTGTCACATATATCTTGAACCGTTTTTGCAGAGTACACCTCCATAATGATCAATATTTTCCCCCTTTTTTTCACATTTCTCGCTGTATCTTCGCTTGTATTAGTCACAGGGCATTGTTTTATAGCGTATAGGCTTAGCGTGTTCAAACTCTTCAGCTTTATATATAGATTTATGATGTAGGGCAACCCGACTGTCGAATGACAACATAATACAACAAAACCTTGAATACGATAATTAATTTTGCAGTCTCGCAGTATTTTATTTAACAATTAAATACAAGCGTTATTAGAGACAGAGATGACGATGAAAACAGGAACCAAGACCGCATTCTGATGCAGTCGACACTTTTTGTGTCAAAAACAAAAATGTCGTTTGTACTACAGACTTACACCTGTTCAAATGTAGTCTTTTGTAGTACGACGCAGTTATTGGTCACATTGAATTGATGGTATTTTGGTGAGATGTCGACTCACGATTCCTAGAACGAAAAATTTACATTTCAAGCTTCATTAGAGTTCTTATACCCGATTAATTTTGCATGGTTTTGACGATTTCATTGGTCCAATGGCGGAAATTTATCTATACTAATATATATAAAGCTAAAGAGTTTGTTTGTTCGAACGGGCTAATCTCAGGAACTACCGGTTCGAATTGAAAAATATCGTGTGTTGGTTAGAGCATTCATCGAGCAAGGTTATAGACTAAAAACATCTCCCCGCGACTAATACAAGCGAAGGTACAGCGAGAAATGTGAAAACGTTTGGAAAAATTATTCATCATTATGGGTTTCCCAGGGCGTACGCTGCAAAAACGGTTCAGGATACACAAAAAATATGTATGAATGAATGATTCTACTTTAAATTATCTAAAAAAATTCCGCGACGCTATATGAATCTTAACTTACACGAAGGGAGTTAGTAGGAAGTTGAATAGGAATTTTGCAAAAACAAACTCAATGTCCAAAATAACTATTGTTCGCGGACGAAGTCGCTGACCCAGCTAGTATAAAATATTATTAAAATCTATCGATAATCTTTCTATATCAAGATACATTCGTCTGGGAAATCTAGTCTACAGATGAAGAGCTTTAAGTGTAAATCCGCATTTCGGTTAAAGCCTATGGACTTTTTAATGTTACATTGCTGGGCTATTTCACCATCTAGTAAATTATATGCCCGAAATATAATTCACATAGATATAGTCACATCCAAAACTGAAATAGGTCGATAGCACATCTTATTTAGATGCTATAGGCTGTTGTATTCCACCTGCTGTCAAGCGAACCTGCTTATCTGTCCTCCTCTATCAATAAAAGTCACAAGACTTAGTCAACGGCTCGTCGTCTGCTCTAGCCAAAAATCCATGACCATAGACGTGTGGTCGTGTTTGTCTACCATTCGAAAAGACAGGTTTAAAGGTTAAACCTACGGAGGTAGATGAGGTCAAGAGCCGGTTATATCGATTGCATAATGGTGACGTCACGGCTGAGTCACCATAATAAATAAACAGAGCTTGCGTTTCAAGCTCCTTAGATCGGAGAATCGATTTCTTCGAGAGAGCTGCCCGCGACTTTTTTTTACCGCGGTTTACTTTTGCAAACCTCCCCAGCTTAATAATTAATTATAGCTGTTTTCCATGACGTCATCCGCGTCCCGTCGTTTTTTTCTCGAATAAATCTTAAAATATACACTATCCCGGACATTTTTTAGATCATTTAAGGAAAAAATCATTCTTTCGAATATATTTATAGTTTCTTGCACCTTTTTCGACGGGGACGTAACGGACGCTCTTAAAGATAAATAACTTCGCTCATATTGGTCGCAGGCTGATGTATAATAGCCTAGTCTTATTCTATAAATGAAACGAAAATAATTTCTCAATTCAAACTTTTCAGCTTCATAATAATGTTATTAACTATTTAAAAGAACTTGCCCATTACAGTTAAGGTTAACATTGAGACCATCATAAGATGAGAAAACTTGGGGGGAGACGATCTAAGATACACTTTTAACCCCAAATTGTTGGAATAATACATTAATTAAGATTCTGTAACACAACAATTACATGTTCGTTCTGCATGAACTAAAAATTAGATCAATATAGTTTGTTTATTAACAGATGTAAGAATAAAAAAATAGAAAGTAAAAATAATTAGAAGCCTAAATGTTTCACCTCAAATACCAAAACCTCAATTATTTTTCTTTCATTTATACTTAATAAATTATTTTAAAGTCTCTTTGTTTTCTATATATGTATGTCTATTAATTAATTAATAAATAAAAATAAAATTCTACTTTTGGGAATATGATCCTGCAGGCATGAAACAAACCTTACCAAGATATCATCATAACATTGTGACAAAACCGATGTCTCTTTGATCTCAAGAATATAATTAGGATGCAGTTATGAGTCATTACTGCATTAACAGAGGCAGCAATCTATCATACAGCGACATTCATATTTTTAGTTCACCATTAGTAGTTGTAACATACTTTATGTTCCTGAAGTAGATCTTACTAATAATGGCAAATAAGAATGGCTTAAACTTTTACATAAAACACTTTAACGGTTTAAAACGCGATATATAAGTTAAACTTATTTGAAAATGATTTTTAACTTCGGCAAGACGTTTCGGATGCTTTGCTTTGTGACCACACCTGCTGCAAAGCATCCGAAACTTCGGGCCGAAGTTAAAAATCATTCACGATTTAAACCGTTAAAGTGTTTTATTAGAATCTGTACTCCTACGGTAAACTATAGACAGTATGGCTTGAACTGTGAATCTGTTTTGTAATCACTATCTGTTAATATTGTCAACAATATTACAAACAGACATTAGCAAAAAGAATATTAACAATTTGTGTATTTGTCACTTATATTAAAATTGTACTCACCAGGTGTGAGCTTCAGATTTTGTATGTGGTCACCCAAAGCCTCGGCCCAGGTCTGAAGCTGATCTAGTATACCCCAGGGTGTGGTCATAGCCACCGTAAAGATAACTAGTGTGTGCGGGAATGTCTCTTCATTAAGTGCAAATTTGAGCAAATTTTTGTGCCCTGGGTCACCATCTAATACCCATACACTGAGTCTTGTGTGGTCTGAAAGTAAAAGAATAAATAAATAAAACATTAATTCAACTATGATTTTGTTAGGGATTTGGCACCAAAGAAAGATGAGAAAAGATGTTTCTTCATTAGGGACAGGGTAGTTCATCTTAGAAGTGCTTCAACTGTCTCTAAGCTTTGCATGTAAGTGCGAGCGGGAAAGAGATAAAAATTTAGGCTGTATTTGAAACTTAGGCAAAATTAATAGTTTAGTAAAACCCACTCATTTCAACAACTTCAAAAAAAAAAGTATTTTGTAATTATACTGCTAGCATATAGTTTCCAGTTCTGCCTAATGTGAATAAATTAGTAAGTAAAATCACAACTAATAATTCAATTATCAAAATTTAGTATAATCTGTGTCTTATCAATGCTATCATTAAATCAATGGGGTTATCAGGGCTTTCATGAAATCTGTCAGTTGATCGAATAAAATATAAAAAAATGTCTGCCCTTTTGTTGTAAACATTTATGCATATTATAACATAATTTAAATAACAATAAATAACCTTTAATTATACCATAGACCCAGTCAAGCTACATATCATTAAATAATCAAAAAACAATTGAGAAAGCCATTGCCAAAAGACAGCCTGACGAAATTAATAAATTGTAGAATAGTATTATATAAAAAACATTTAAAGTTCTTTTATTCAGTTAAGCAATAAATCTGTAAATAAGGCTCTAGTTATTTACTACACCTATTCTGATTAGTGTGGACTGATCACCTGGCCTTCTATCCCCAATAGAAAATTATATATAATACTTCTATTAAAAACTCCTTACTGAGTTATAATACAATATAGAAGACACGGAGACTATTGGATCATTTTAATATGTGATACAACACATTTACTCAATGTCTTCTGCTTTCAGTTTGCAATCATTTGTTTGTTAACTGCTTCTTATATTTACTTTAATTGAAAAATCTTCAAAATTGTATGTATTACGTTGTCTAAAAGGCTTCATAATACAAGTATATTACTCTACCAATATGACTTTTCTTAGCTTTTAAATAAGGCATAATCAATTACAAAAGGATCTGTTGCTTGTATTTATGTAGAAGACTCACCATCTCTATATTCATCTCTTACATCTATATATGCATATTCGAGAGCCGACCCCTTCTTGGGATCCTCCACTCCTTGTAATTTAGCTATGAGTGTTGTTTTACCCGTTTCATTATCACCGAGCACTAGTACATTCTTATTTGATGGTAATTTTGTGTTCCCTTGGTTCTGTACTTCTTCTAAAATCGCAGACCTGAAAGCAAGAACATCCATTCATTCGTCGTAAGCATGCGTTGTGGACGTCACAGTTTCCACATGCACAGTTGACGATTCCACGGTTATTCAACAAAACAAAGGCGATGCGTCGCAGCTAGGTCACATATTTCTCAGGCTCGACTCTTGACATCACGTAGGTGTGACACATTGGATACCCTATATGGATGCTGCTTGTAATTCGTAAATGAACATTGAACAATTACCATAAATTATCCTTGCCGTCACCATTGTCTTTCTTATTAGATTTAAGCCCATTTACTTGGCCGTTTGTCTCCATTCTTCAGTAATGATAGAAGATAACAACGGCACAAGAGGCTTTTCTTTCGTTTTCGTTTCGGCCGTTCATACGTCACTCTCGCAGATAGTTGCCGATGTTGCCAAATAATTTCTGAGAATACGTAGCAGCTTCATAAATACAACTTTCGCTGCTTCACAAAATACTAAATATCTTTATTACATATCCATTGAATTGTTTTTATTTCAATATAGTGGCGTGTTAATTTTATTTGCTTTAGAATAATTAGTAGGTAGTAGCTAATAATGTAATAAACTTAAGGTGAATGTCTTAACATGGCAACATTGTGTATCTAATACTGACAGGCTATATTATTATTATTTATAATTTACAGATAACAAATCTGCTTAATTTTTTTGCAACTTATGTAATTTTAGGTTTAAAACTTTAAATATTTTATGTATATATCACCCCACTTAGTGGTTAGAACAACCAGAATCTTTATTACAGAATTCTACTTTCCCTTTTTTTCTAACGTACTATTGTCATTTGATTATATTGCCATCGCACAAAATGAAAATGAAGTCGTCAAAATATTACAATAACAAAATTCAAAGTCAAACTTCATCATCTTGAGATAAGATTGTTTTCTTTCTTTGTCCCTATTATTACTTTATATTAGCTATTCACTCATTACCTGGTAAATAATATTACGTCCGTGTGGCTTCAATGGTGTTTTAGTATTAATTCCACTTTTTTAATCTCCAAAGTGCATAATGTCGAAGCGACCAAAATCCGGAAAAAGAGGCAATTTGTCTCAAGTGAGTCATTTATAAATGTTTACACAATATTGACACCTCCAAGAAATCTAATTAGATCTAGACTTTTCAAATTTGCTGTATAGAATCCAGTAATTTATAAGATTTTGGATGTTTACAGCTACTGGATTTATAAACATCGAATGTTTATGAATTCAATATTTTTTTTTAATTTTGTTATGTGCTGTATAAAAGAACATAAATAAATATAGCTTTATCTGACTGTGAAAAATAAATGTCTGTTTAAGTCATGTACATGAGAATACATAATTCATTCACTAAAACTCGTGTATAGTAATAATAAATAAAAGAACTTAACAAAAGCTACTAAATTATTTAAGGCCTTAGACTGTTCAGTTTTAGATAATCAGGTTTATAATTGCTTATGTTTTGTTCCAATTCTCCTGTGTGGTGATTGTAATCTTCAAAATAATGAGTTTTCTTTTATATTTACCCCATAGTTTGGCCTAATAGACATTCCGGACTTAGATGACGATGAACCAATGGATCTATCTGATGGTGATGATGATCTAGAAGCAGAACTCGCTGCTATCACTGGTGGAGGAGCGGCAAAGATGAGTAGACCTAGGAAACCAGCTGCTGTTGCCCCTGCTGATCTAGATGCTATGATTGCTGCTAGTTTAAGAGATGTACCTTCTGATGATGAAGCCTCAGGTGTGTATGTCATGCAAACGTATATTTATATTGTGTTTCTTTTGTCTTGGTGACAACAATAGAAGGCTGGGTGATCAGTCCACATCATTGGCTGTGATTTACCCTATCATTAGACAAATGTAACAATATAAAAATATGACTGGTGTTCTTAATCTTTCATTAAGTGAATCCAGTATGTCTTTCCCCTTCGTTTCATTACTACACCAGTCTAATGTGCCTAGTCTTTGTCTTCACTTAGATTTCAAAAGGAGTATACAGTAACTTAATTTAATGACAAACTGTCTAAATCTTTTCCAAAAATCTAAATCCAAGTATTTTAATTTTGGTTGGTTTAGTTTATTTCGCAATAATAATGCTACCTGTAAGCATTACAGCCTTAATTAATAAAGGATAAGACATTTATATGAACAAAAAAAAAAAGAAAACAAAATTACAGCCAACAACATCATCTGCATGTTACAGATAACCCTATGCAAACTGTTATGTGCATTGGAGAAATAAGCTTGCTCCTATTGCATTATTATCCTCCAGCATATATTTCGTATTTGTTTGATATCTGTATATTAAAATATTGAGAATTAATCTTCAGGTGATGATGATGACCCCGATCTACTAAATGAGCTACAAGCTTTGGCCTTTGATGAAGCACCACCAAGGGTCAATAGACCTGCTCCTGCTCCACCAGGGGCTGTTAGTGCTGAAAACAGTACTGTTAGTTTATTGCAAGACAGGATATCCAATTATACTTTAGCTGAGAAGAACGCAAAGGACAGTGGAGAGAGTAGTCGTGCGCGTAGGTGAGAAAATGGCTTTTTAAAATTTTTATATTGTAGTTACACTACACTAGTTAATCTCCAGAGCTTATTTAATTGTAATAAAAACAAGATTTACAATTGTAAACTTATTTTAAATGTACCAGTGTGTCAAAACCTAGGAGAGAAGGTGTTTTATTCTTTATATCAACATTGCTTTAGAATTTCTTAAGTCTGTGGTTTTATATTACAATATTTTATAAGTTGTTTTGTTTTATAGTTCTTTATATGTACATATTTTTAAGATTTTTAATGCATGAATTTTAATACCATTACAGATTTTCACGTGGCCTGAAAACTTTGAATGATTTGTTAAAACAAGCAAAAGCTGGTAAACCCATTAATAACGAAGACATTCCACCTCCCGTCAGCGTAGGAAAATCAGATAAAACGTCAGCTGCTCCAGATGCACTGCCAATACAGCCAACAACTCCTGCAGAACCCCCTAGTTTTGATACAACGCCCGAAGTACCTCCTCATTTTGACATACCGCCTCAGCCACCACGGAGAGCACCAGCGCCACCACCTCGTACAGAGTCGCTGGGACAGAGACCTACAACACCCCCTGAGCCCAAGGAACCTCCTCCACAGTTACCAGCTGAAGATAGAATGGATCCTGCGAGAGAAGAAGGCTTAAACATGATACTGAGTAAGAATGTTTTTATATGTCATATTTTTTAAGTTAAGATGTCTCAGGATTGCAATACATTAGTTGCTGTAGGATGTCTCCTTGAAAAACAAAAGTTGACCTCTTCCAATTAACCACTATTACTCAGTACACTATTATAACCAGTAGTACTATAGTAATATTGTTACTACTATAGTACTACTGGTTACTATGGTACCTAATAATTTATTTCAGGAAGAAAAGAGGAATTTAAAGCAGCGGCGTTAGCTAGCAAACACGCGGGTGATAAAACTATGGCTTTGGAATACCTAAAAGTAGTCAAGCAGTTTGATATTGTGGTGGACGCATACAAGTCAGGTCAAGAGATGGATCTGAATGAACTTCCGACAACCGAAGCCATTGCTGCTATGGTCAAGGGACAAAGAACAGAAGAACAAACACAAAGTTCTGGTATTTAATATTATTTATTTTTTTAAATCGAATTATTCAATATATTTTGACTAACATAAAAAATTGTATTGAGCAGTTGCCACTATAAATATGTTTTATTTTATTTAACCACATGTTAGTTGTTATATTAAATTTTTTGCATTAACTTTCTCTGAAGTTCTTATTGTATAGTTTTATCAGACACAAATAACACAAGACATAATTCTTGCATTTGACCACTAATAATATTTTTATAGAATAATTTATAATCGTATTATTTAATGTGTATTTTGAAATATACAATCTCAAAAATGGTATCTTTCAATTAATTAACAGTCAAAATACTAAAACTTATGATCCTACATAAAAAATCTTTGAGTTATCTAAACCCTTAATTACGTTGATTGAACTGTCAAGTGTGTCCTGTAATAAAAATCACATTAGTTACATCATTTCTATAATTAGAGGTTAATATTGCCAGTTTATGTTAGTGCCAGTTAGTGCGCGAATAATATGATAGTGGGAAGCATAATGGCTCGATGACATAAAAATGTTTTTATTTTGCTTTATCAATATAAAAAGAAAAATATCATTTAATGACTTATAATGTTGTATCTCTCTTTTACTATACAAAAAGGATACTATGCAAAAAGGGCACTCTTGTGCTAAAGTTAAAAACATAACAGGCTTGAACAAAAAATCATTCGAGTTTTTCCGTACACCCTCGTCTCGGATCTGACTTAAATCTATACTAAATGTTTCTCATTATCGAATATTATAATTTACAATATTATCTATATTTTCGTATTACAGAAGCAGTACCCGAGCCTGTACCACAACCTCAAGGACTGATAACAGCTTCCACCGTTGATGAAGCCCTAAAGCAGAGGCTAGCTGCTTTTCAGGTAGCACATTTTTTTTTAATAAGAAATAGATTAACATTCTAATGTTTATCTTTTAATTTAGGTTTTTTTTAAGAAAACGCAAGGACCCTTAGAGTACTTTTTGCACCAATGTTCTATTAATACCAATGAACTAATCGTTCTAGAATTTTAATCAAGACTGTATGTAATGTAATGTAGGAACAAGAATCCAAAGCGAAGGAGGAAGGCAATTCTTCAAAGGCTCGAAGAATGGGCAGGATAATAAAGCAGTACCAAGACGCAATCAAGTTACACAATGCGGGGAAACCCCTACTTCTAGATGAACTTCCGACACCCGCCGGGTACGCCCCTATACCCGGTGAAGGGGTAAGATACCTTAATAAGTTAATTTATTTACTAAAATTTGTGGGAGAAATAGTGTGAAATTTCCTTTAGGGTGCGGCATGAGGCGAACACATTTCTGAGACCGTTTTACTGACTTTTACCGGCAAGTGGTTGATCAGACTTCTGGGCACTGCCCGACCTAAACACATTATTGTTTTCCTAGAATTCGAACCCAGAACCTTTTGCGATCAAAGCGATACTAGGTTATGGAAAAAGTGGTGGAACCTACCCAATATTCATTATACCATTAAATACTTGCAGTCTCACCAAGCATCAGCCCCAAAGCCGCCAGCCCCTCAGCCGTCAGCATCTGCCTCCCCGTCACCATCACGTGCGCCCCCTCCTCGCATATCGCCCAAGCAGATGACCCGTAATGACAAACAGCTGTTGCTGCTGATGCATAGACAAAAGGAGTTTAAAGAGGCGGCTTTGAAGGCTAAGAAGAGTGGTAAGAGATTATTGACTTATGTTATTACTCTTTTTTCTCAAATTAAAAAAAAACCATTCAAAACATTGATTCGAATATCATCGCAGGTAACTTGGAGCAAGCCAAAGAGTATCTTCGAGCAGCTAAAGGTTTCGATTCGCTAATAGAAGCAACAAAAGGCGGTCTTCCAGTTGATTTAAAGTCCCTCCCCCTACCCCCGACAGCTAAGAAAGAAATGGATGAGACGTAAGTATTGGTATTAATTTACATATAATGAAAATTATTACAAAAATTGAGAACGAGACTAGAGTAATATTGGTTTTCAATAATTACAAAGAAAAGATTGATAATTAGAGTAAGTTGAATGAAATGCATGTTGGACATAAAATCTGTTACTTATGTATTAGCAAAATTAAACATATATGTGAAATGATAAGTGAGAAAACTTATTAAATCGTTTCGTATTGTATATCGTGTTGCTTTCAGTTTCGACATAGTCTCAGCTGAAGACTGTGGGCCACCAGACGATACGTCCATATCCCCGGAAGACGATAATGTGATGTCCCTGCTGCACGCCCAACTGACTAATCAACTCAAACTGTGCCTCACAAACAGAGACCATTATAAGGCCATGGGAAATATAGCCGAGAGCAATCGCTTTGAGCACCTCGCTGTGACTGTTAAACAGGACTTGGACGTGGTGTCTGTTGCCAAATCGTGAGTACTTATACAATATCTGGCTCAAAGGACTAAAAAAATACAATTATCTTGACAAATTACATTGTTTTAGTACTACTCCCATTGATGGTTTGAACGTTTGAAGGTGTTCTCTTTCTAACTGTGTCGATTTAATTAGTCTAAACACCAGTAAAATATTTAATATTTCATAGAAATTAAGAAATTAAATTATTAGTTTTGTTTATGCTTTTAACTAAATATTATTATTAAAAAACTGCTACAAAACCATGTAACTATAAGGACTTAGCTTCTGCAGGTAATATAGGCTCAAACTTACCAGAGACATCTGTAATGATAATTTTTGTATGTGGAGGAACTCCACTCAGCTTTTGTAGTACCTGGAAATAGGCACAACGCGATTTTCAGTGACGGCCGATGTCTGAAACTTCGTCCATTTTCAATTTGTATTTTATAATTTTCAGCTTGGGTCAAGATCCACCAAAATTCCACTATGAAATGCGACAGTTCTCAATAGTTCAGTGCAACACGGACATCAATGAAAGCGAATTAGAGTTAACCGTAGTGCGCGGGATTGCTTACAACGTGCCGAACCCTAAGGAGATCGACACTTATGTCAAATTCGAGTTTCCCTATCCGCAAGTGAGTTTTTATTTTTCATAAAGTGAATACTTGCGTAAACAGTTAGTTATGGGTTTGTCTTTAATTAACTATGAGTTATAGTTTTTCAGTAAACAAGGTGTAGACCAATACAAGACTTTGATTTCCGTACTTTGTTAGCGTTTTTTCGTTATTGTCTGTGGTTAAAATTATTAGTAAGAAGTAAAAGTAAGCAGGAGGTGTGGTCTTAGACCCCCCCCCCCCTCCGTGATCATGTCTGCAATGCATTCGAAACATTGGTTCTTAGTTTAATGTATTTAAACTATGACTCGACTCAAAATGTATAATTTTGCGTTTTTAACGATTAAATATTTTATAAGATCAACACAGATTTTACCCAATGTTAGAACTTCTTGATTTTAAAAATATATATTAATGTTTCTTACTTATACTGTAATGTAACTGAAATTATATCAATTCCAGGACGCGCCCGTATCTGATCGCACGCAGCTGGTTAAGGACACGAACAGTCCTCAATACGACGCGGTCTTCACTATACCGATCCAACGGCAAAGGGCGTGTCTCAGGGTATTCAAGAGACACGCTGTGAAATTCGAAGTCTACTCGCGAGGGTAAGATATTATATGATGTGTCTAGTAGTGTGAAGTAGAAGGCTCGTAGTTGGGAAGTTTTATATTTGTCTATGTCATATGTATACTCATATATAAAGTTTGTTTGTTTGAACGCGCTAATCTCAAACCCTACTGGTGGGAAGTGAAAAATATTTTTTGTGTTGGTTAGAGTATTTATGCGAAGAATGCTACCATCGCGCGCGACTGTTAGGAGCAAGAAACGGGAAAAATTATTAATTTTTGTGGGTTCTCGTTGCGTGCGCTGTAAAAACGTTTCGAGATAGCCAAAATATGTCTGAAATAATGGTTCCTCTTTAAATGACCTAAAAAATGTCCACGACAGCATATGTCTATCTTTAAAACTATATCAGCGTCGTTGATAACAGCTATAATTTATAAAGACGAGGAGTATTGCTAAAACAAATTCGGATCTTCAAATAACTATTCCATGCGTACGAAGTCGCTGGCACAGCTAGTATTGTATAAAGCTATACGTCAACTTGCAAATTACTTTAGCCACCACGAGTAGATGGACATTATGGAGGCGATATAAGACTTTGCTGATGACGTCATTCAGTCAAGAACCATTTCTCAACTATGAATAGTCTAACAGCTCAAAATTTGAAATAGTTTTGTTTTTATTCTTCTTTGATCTTGCTTCTTGTTAAACAAGTGTTTGATTTACTGGTTTTTTAAGGTTATAATTAAAAACTAGAAGTAGTTCAAAGGGTTTGCTTGATTAGTTATATGTAGATTATTAAATAATCCATGCTTCAAGCATGAATTTATTCTATGTAGTGTTTGTAGTGTGTGTGTAGCGTAGTGTGTAAACTGGCAGGTGTTGTGATGGCGTGTTGTGTTGCAGTGGCTGGTTCAGTCGAGACACGGTCATCGGCACCGCAGCTGTCAAATTGGCCCCATTGGAGACACAGGTCACGCTGCATGAAGCTTACCAGGTAATAAACACTTCATCATCAGCTCGTTTAGAGTTCCCACTTATGAGATTCGTCAATGTTTTTGAGGTATATGGGGTTTTATCGACCATGCCAAATGCGTGTTGTTAGATGTCAAATGACATAATATATAAAATATAACCGATTCCTTACCCTTCTTCGCCAAGAGCAATATAAACAAATATAAGAAGTAGAATGAAACTTTATTATACTTAATATTTAATTTGTAAAAAATTTTTTTGTTAATGTATTTTTAACTTTACAAAATAATGAGAAATTAGGGTAGACACGATTTGGTTGTATTAAAGTATAAGCTCCTATATTTTAATACAACCATATATGATGCAACGGTGGCGCTGTCAAGTATATTTAATATTCTTTGTGATTAAAATGTGTTTTTTGGATTTTGTCCCGAATATCAGGTCGGAAGCGCACCTTCTTTACATGTTCTATGGCTGGAATATTACACTGTCAAAGACTAAATTCCATGTTTGTCTGTCCTTTCCCATCATAAAGAGACATTTTGCAAATAGGATATATTAAAGGGATACACTGTTACATATTTAAGTTGATTGATGATTTAGACACTCGGGTATATTATGTAATACATAAGTCTTAAGTCTAAAGTGTCTTTGCTTTGTAACGAGATGCCTACTTTATTTAATTAATATTATTTTACCCAAGTATGTAGTCTTATATCTATAGATAAAAATTTGATATCTTTCAGTTGATGGACGGACGTCGCCCAGCGGGAGGATCTATTGAAGTGCGAATGCGCGTGCGCACTCCAATGCTACAGCAGCAGATAGTACACACTAAACATCGGTGGCTTGTTATTGATAACGAGGGATAGAGAAAACTCATATACAAAATAATAATATGGTGATTATGCTATATGTTGACAAAACAATCACATTTTAAATAATGACTCTTTATTCGCTTAGAGGTTGTTACGCCTAGTGACGTAAGAGTTACATTGCTGTCCGGTTTCAACATAAAAGTTGCTGCGTTAATAGTATAGTTCATTCATTGTCTCAAGATGAGAAATAAAATAAGCGTAAAAATTTACAAAAGTTTAAGTATATAAACTGAAAAATATCTTTGAATGGTTGAATCTATAAAACCAATAAAAATAAAATTTTGTGCTTTAATCATTCTATTATAAACTCTAAATGCGATGAAATAAGGTGGAAAGTTTATACTTCGCTTTCCGCTTACAATTTTACACAAATTATTTTTAAATATAATAAACTTCAAAATGATAGTTATGAGTATCATTATAGAAAAACTTAGCATTGTATTGTCACTAGATTTATACAAATCTGACACTATTTGCAATTTATGTCGTCAATTTTATGTCACATATGTCAGAATTGCTCCCCCTGTTTCTATAATTTGAGTTAAACATAGTGTTATAAATTATATCGCCCTGGAAATTAATAAGTTATATTTTTTGGAATTAGAAGGGTAATTATTACTCGCAATTTATAGATCTGTCACAAGTACTGTTTCATAATTTTAAGTGACTTTGAAAGGATTTTAAAAATCAAATAATTTTATTTGAGCCTTCAAACTTTTGCATGAAGTAAATGGGAGTTAACTCTCACGTTAGTTGTGAAATATTAATATCGACTCCCAAAACTTACTTGAGAATTACCCCCATAATTAATAATGGGACTGTAATATAAATCAAAGGATAATAAGTACAGTCAGCATATAACAAAAAATCATAATCCATGTAAATAATGTATTTTATTATAAAAACTGATAATAGTATATTAATAGTTTTCAAAGTAAATAGGAAATGTTCGTTGCTGACTGTACATACTTATTTAATGTATATATTTTATTATAAACCAGTCCACGCCTATTGGAATATGTATTATATGCTTATATTTTTGTATCATAATACATAATGGTTTTTGTAGATATTGTTATCATTAAAGACAAGTATCGTTTTATATTACGCAGTTTTTTTAGTTTCTTGAGGTTTACTTTGCACATAATTACTGAAAATCGTAATTGATAACAATTTTATATCAAAATATGATATACCCTTATAATCTTGAAAACATAGATATCCTAAAACTTGTAACTAATTTAACGAAGACATTCTCGTAACTAAATATATAGTATAGATTTGAAAAATCGTAAATATAAAAACAGGCAATCCTGTTTAATAATATAAAAAAAGGACTATTTTTTTAATTTCATTTCGATATTAAAAATATAATTTTTAATTTTCTTAGATAACTTATTTAGTGTAAAAAAGACCTACGAAAATTTGCCTACTTAACTTTTAATATAACTACCCTTTACCAGCATCTAGAACCTGCCTAATGAATTAGCGCAGACCGTTATTAACCATTTATTTTTGAATATTCGTGTAGTCGTGTCTTCGTATGTATTTACAAAACGCATTTTAAATATACTTCGATACTATTACGATAATTTGTCATTAAAATGTATTATTTAGGGACTTTTATACTAGTGTCGGACAAAATTACGTCTTATACGCCAAAATAAAATGTCTACAATCATATCAATATATAATTAGAAATTGAATATATACTATAAAGTCAATTACTAATTAGGGGCAAATAAACAACTTTAAAAAAATAAAAAAGATTTGTGGCCCATGAGGGGATCGAACCCGCGACCTTCGCGTTATTAGCACGACGCTCTAACCAACTGAGCTAATGGGCCTGTTGGCAATATGGCAAAAATACAAATTACATTTTTAGGAGAGTCTTTTCTGTATAAATTTTAATGCATGGCGTGAATTAGAAGCTAAAACAATATAAAGGCGTTTATAATCAGTGATCCAGTTTCTACCACGTACATTTCACTTTTTGGTCCACCATAGATGGCGCTAGAAGCGATATTCGTTTAAACAATTTTTACTGAAAAATTTTTTTTTTTTGGGAAAAAAAGATTCAATTTTTCAAAAAAATTTCTTAATTTCTTAGTAAATTTTATTAAAAAAAAAAAAAAAAAGGGGGGGAAAAAATTAAGGGGGGTTTGGCCCGGGGGGAGGAAAAAAAAAATTTTTTTGGGGGGTTGAAAATGAATTACGTTAAAATTCTATTGCAGTTAAAACTAAAAGCAATGATGAGCCGCGGGGCGAGTTATAAATAATAAGTATGCATAATTCTTTTCCACAGTAGGGATAACATGTGTGCCCTCTCAAATGCAATAAGGCTTTGACGTCACAGCATCGGGTGCATGGTCTAATGAATCGCACGTGCATTTGAAGGCTCAACGTGATTGCCCCTCAAGACCTTTTCTGTAAAACTGGGTTATATCGAAGCCTTAAAATTAACTACATTCCAGTTATAGTTCACGATTTGAAAACTCGTGTTTTTTCACTGTATAAGGCAGTGTGTTTTAGCATCTATAACTTATTATGAGAATAAAACTACTTTAATTAAGGAGCTAAATCATAATTATCACTTATCTTCTTCTTTTAAAGAAGTTCTGAAACTTAATGAAGACAAGGCTCATCAGAAACCAATTGGGAAAATAAATGAAAAGTGAAATTTAAATAAAACACTTTAAAGATTTAAAACGCGATATATGAGTTAAACTTTTTAAAAATGATTTTTAAATTCGACCCGACGTTTCGAATGCTTTGCAGCAGCCTTGGTCACAGGGAGACTCCTCGTAGACTACGAGGAGTCTCCTAACTAATATATCGCGTTTTAAACCGTTAAAGTGTTTTATTTAAATGTGTACTACTCGCGTAAACTATAGACAGTATTTAAAAAGTGAAATGTTTTCGCGCCGAACATTGTCTTGTACGAAATATAAATTCCCTAAACTTTAAGATTTTTCATTAGTCTTCAAGTATCGCTCTTACTGAGTAGTTCTGCAAGGTAGGAAATACTCAGGATGGTGTGAACTGATCACCCGGCCTTCTACAGGTGTCCCCGATAAAAAATAAAAAATATAGTAATAGTTACTAGTTAGTAATGGTAACCATTCCACATATGACAATAATCATACTGTTCGACTAAAAATTTCGTCTTATTTCACGTCTTGAATTTCTTCCGTCTAAAATAGTTTTAACACAGTATCCATTAATATAAGTTTTACATCTGCTTTAAAATTCGATGTCATTTCGTTATTTAACAATACTGAATAATAATAACGATTGGATTAGCAAACACAGTGTTGTGAGCGTAGGTTAAAGAACTCTGCAGTTGGCACAGGAACCGGTTGCTGGCGACCTGCCTGCTCCGGTATAATCATTATAAACGGTGCTATAGTCTTAGGGCTTCCCCATTCAAAGCTTGAGTATCTGCGACGCGTACCATAATGCAAACATGATTATATAAAGGTAACACCAAAGAATGGTTACAAAGGAAGCTATAAGTAAGGATATTTTATCTCTAGTATGTACCTACTTGTTATAAAATGACAACGTGGAAAGAGTGTCGCCATGGACGGGCCTAAGAGAGGAACGAGCTTTAGAAGGTCAGAAGCGATGGCAGAACTCTGCGAGGTTGAAATAACGTGAATACCAAAATAGTATGTAAGTGTATAACTACTACAATACACCGAGACAGACTATAAATTTGTATAGGTAACAAGGAGAAAATTTACATTTGGTATTTAATTAATAATACATATAAACCAAGAAGTTACCTCTTCTAAAAAAATATATAATGCGTATACAACCCTATGTAATCATTTAGAAAAATATGTTGCCTTAAATTATATTAAGGCGTTTTTAAATGGCTTACAATATTTTTAATTATAACGCAAAACCAGTACAATAATACACCTTTGAAGCAGGTTTATACAGATTACGTGCGTATTCGTAAGCGTAGACTACATATTAAACTAAATAAGAATCATGAGGAAAGTCGGCACCTTTATACCATCTTTTTACATTCTATATGAATAAAAAATCGATCCTCTAGACAACTGCGTATTCTGGAAGAGATGACGTCACAGGGAGGCTGGAAGGTTAAAGGTCGGTGAGGTAATAGGGAGGTTGAAGTATAATTCGGCTCTTTGTGATCTTGTAAAGGTTTCGACTATTTTTGGAGCTTAGACTTTAATTTGCTATATTTATATCACAAACAGAATTAAGGCCCGCATATGTTTGTTATAAAAATAGTCGGTTGCTTAGGATAAAAACAAATTGTCAAATCTACATTACTTGTATCAATTCAACCTTTTAATCTTCCAATATTGAAGTGAGGTCTTCTTATTTTAGGACGATTTTAGGTTTGAGTGTTGAGTTTTGATTTTAGTGAGGTTTGGTCGGCCTTAATGACTCCCAACTAAAGGTACGATAACGGATTCCGACGTGGTAACGTGCTCTCCGAAGCAAGGGAGTGAGGTTAATTCCCATAGTTGGATTTCCTTAAAAGGCATAAATTAACCATGATTGATGACTGCTTTGGTACTAGTTATATTGGAATCATTAATAGAGTTAAATTATTTGATCATGGTTAGAAGTAAAATAAAAAATACACGTCCTGTATAGTACAGCTAATTGCAATATCCGTTCCTATATATCACTATATATATCACTGATCGATTTTTATTTACAGACAATTACTTGTCTGTGAATGAAAAATTGTGGCTTCCCCGACCGAAATTCTTTACGCAGTCCTATGCCATCCGGGTCCTCCCGCATCTAACCCTTAGCCACACATGTTAGAGGCAGCTCATCATGGTAAACGTTTAATCAATTTATTTATGAAATACCTCATGAAGTTCCACGAACGAACCCTCTCAATAGGATTTCATTCAGTTCCCGTCGTAAACACGGCCTCGGCATTGCGGGCAGATCGATCGAGCAATGTCAAGGGTGGGCAATGACGTCAACTCACCCCCCAC